ATCGTATTTCAGTCACCACAAGCTTCATGAACTGAATTTTTCGTTTCACTGAATTCATTTTTTCCAAAAGAAACATTTCGGCAAGAAAATTGAAAATGAGGATTTTTGCCTAAATAAGTGCAAATTCCATGCTTGTTGCTTTTTACTGTGCTGTTGTACTTTCAAAATGTTTCCATTCAACACAATAGCAATTTTCATTTCGTGGAAATTTATTTGCTGAAATGAGTGTAATCGATGGAATACAACGTAGTACTTACTGCACATGCACGAATTCATGCATGTATAGTGCATAGCACTACGTCGTCTATTTCCACACATACACACTCAAGTGCATTGAAGTACATGTATCATCAAAGCCATAAAATATTCATTGTGTATAAGTAGACAATATGAAACGGAAAACTGCCTCGTTTCGAAGTGCAATGTTACAATTCAATGCTCACAAATCGTGCGTTTTCGTTTAATCGCAATAAGCGAATCGAGTGCAGTGGTGCATCAGGGCAAGTGTAAATCCGCATATAATCCAACGTCACAGCTGAACACTGAACACTTCAACAAAAAACATATCGGAAGAGATCAAAAATCGATTGATTCTATTCAATAATAATGTCAAATTTTCTCATTTCCCTAAAATGTTACAATCGAAACGCAATTAAGTCAGTCACTCGCTTACTATTGATGACCTCATCGATGAGTTTTTTTTTTTTGTTCCAAATTGTTGTTTGCTTTCTCTATTTATTTGAATGCATCTGTTCAATTGTATTGTGCATATAGGCAAGTAATGTATGGAACCTAGTGTAACTCTTATTGCTTCTATCTAAACCGAGGGAGAAGCAAATCGAAATGCAAGAAAGGCAATAACAATTCAGTTACGAGCCGTAAATGATGAGTTAGTTGATCAGCCCAATTGACGCAAGCAGGCGATTCGAGAAATACGTTCAATGAAAGCAGTTCGTACGAATACATGACGAAGTCAAGCAATAAAAACATTTGATTGGTACGTAACAAATTGAGAATTTTCAGTTTCCAAAAATAAATTAGCGAAGAAAACAGCAATGCAACAAAATACGCGAATGCAATAGCGACAGCAAATACCAGTACCATTCTTAACAACTGAATACTTCCCATACTGCAGGAAATAACAGACGAATCATCAGCTTATTCATATAATTCAGACTACATTCCTATTATGAAGCCTCAACGAACGGATGATACTGATTCAGTGCACTGCTTCAATAAATGAATCATACTACCTACTAAATGATTCAGCTGTATGCAAATGATTCAAAGGAAATGTTCCATAAGACATAAAAATCACTCTGACTACTGCTTATATGTTCACGTTCAGTGCATGATGCTGATGCTGCCCAGTTTTTCTAATCGCCTAAAGAGGAGAACAATGGCGAAAATTAATCTGAATCGGGAGTTTCATCGAAAACGTGCGATTTCTGCACATCTGCACTCGCCTTACGCCTTCGTTCGAACGCTTTCCGTTGTGAGGGCTTTATGCGCTCAAAAGGTTTCTCTTTATCGGATTGTTGCTCGAGTTTATCGCATAATCCTTTATAAACAATCCACTCCTCTTGACTCACTCCGGCTATTTGATTCGCGAAATACGCATCGGGCGTATCGAGAATTTGCTTCAAGAGTGGATTCTCCTGCAAACGCAATCAAACTCACTAATTTCAGCCGCAATTATCTACAAGTTTTTGAATGAGACCGAAACACTTTTCTGGTAACACTTCACGCATAATTTTCACGACAAAAAAAATCACAATTTGGATGCGCTATGGGGAAAATACGACGATAAATAACTTCTTTTCACTAAAAATACGATCTTATCGCATTGGAAAACAGTGAAAATGGATTTTCCACAACAATTCTCCACGACGAACCATTTTGAATTGTGGTCGTTTCGGATCTGGTGACGTATATTTACCGGTTTTTTGCAAAAACTCATGTCGCATAATAATCTCCTCCAATGGCATATCCACCCAACGTTTACAATCGCCAAATTCACTCTCGTCCATACACATATGATAGTAGATATATTCATATTTTGGTTCCAGCTCATCCATCGAACCCAACAATATATGCGGTGTATTTGAGACCATCATCGAAATCTAAAAAATTTTGACCGTTCACTCGAATGTTGTGACATTTTCTCAAAAAATTATTCCATTTCATTGTTTCATTGCAACTGGAACTCATGCGGCTACTAACAAATACGGTAAAATAAGCGCTTCCATCTGAAAATGCGAATTAAACATCGAGGGCTGTCTAAAAAACGCTCGAACCTGGCTTCGAGAGAAGAACGCCGAAAGACTTTCGGCAATGATGGCCATTGGTTTCGGTTGACTAGCGAATAGCACAGCAGGACATTTACGCACAACGCGACCCAACGGTACACCGGCCGATATGTTGCAACCTATCAAAACACTCAGTCGTTTCCTCATCGTTTCCACATCAATACTCAACAATTCATCTGTATAACTGAAAATTGCACATATTCATGACATTAACAGTTTCTTGAAGGACTCTCCAAACATATCACATATTTCGTTCTCGAATAAAAGCCAAATGAGATCAACAACTGACGTGGCAAATAAACGAATAGCGTCTTCGAATGTCATCGCACACTGATCAACAAGAGTCTCGGTCAGATCATACGTCAACTGACCACGTCTTGCTAACGCACTCAACAGNGTGTAACTGAACGTGATGTGAAACGTTCCGCAAGCAAATTGAAATCCGTCGGAATTCTGAGACGGGTATACGGATATCCAGTGATATCCGTGAGACTAACTTTGAAATATGGTTAAACTGCATGAACGCTTAGCCCAAACAGATGAATGATCAAGTGCGATAATCGCTATGCATACGAAGATCCAATTGACGAACTCAACGCATTCAAGACTAAACTAAATCCCATCTGCATGTGATCACTGACGGAATTCTTCTCATTCTCATGCGAAATCATTTGAATCCGATTATTTCACTACTGATGAAATATTTACCATAGAAGTATATCGGAACAAAAATATATTAATCACAATTAATCACAATTGAAAATATGAATTTACAGAACAATAACAAATGTTAAGTTGGGTTGATGTTAACAGATTGAATCAGTGACCTTCTTCGATCAGCTTTCGAAACGGCTGAATGATCAACTGCATAGCGTCTTCATTATTCAGCGGTAGAATGAAAGTTACTCCTTTTTGTTGCTTCAAATCTTGAACAATTCTTCTCAGCATCGCTGTCCCGGCTTGCAGTTCGTCTGCACTGTACGGAATCCGATTCAGACCATTTGTATCTTCTCCGGTAACGGACCGTGTCAATGGAGTATAGTGTAGTTCACTTCGCTCACCATCATTGCGCGATGACAGCGATCTTATCTGCACATTTCGGTTCACTTCAAACTGTGAATATAGCATTGGTTAACACACATTCATGCTAATATCTCACTGTGAATGCATTCATTTTTTAAAATCTCATCGAGTGCCATAAAAATTTCCAGTAATCCCAAAATAGTTTCGCGACTCAATCGCTTAAAAACGCCTTTTTTTTCAAAAATTCGTTAGAATTTATTTGAATATCTTGGATGCCGATTTTGAGATCTACTTTCTGTCATATAATTTATCCGAAGATTCACCGAAGCGAATCGTTGCCTGTGAGGAAACCGGCTTGTAACAACTGCTGCAACAGAACAGAACGACGACTGTGTAGGCTGGAAACGAATCGAATTCCGCGAAAGTTTGACGATAATCGAAGGAAGGCAATTCTCGCAAAACAGTTGCGATTGCAGCAATACCCGAGGAAATCGCCTTGATAACATACTGCAAATTTTCAAAATAGAAATAATTTCGCTCAACATTCGTAAGCAAAACCACTGTCACGAACGTATCGGCTACGAGCATACACTACTATGCAATTATTTACATGACACTGATAGATATTAGAATCTATTCGAAGAGAATTTCATCACTTCGGATAGTCCTGAATGACTAGGTTCCAAGATGTCGAATATAGCAAACGTTTAAGTGAACCTCATGTGAAACGTGGAAAATTTCGAGCGGGAAGCGATTCTTTGAAAACGCTATCTCAAATTTAATGGTCTCAACTCAATTCAAATTCGGTCTCGCCTAGGACAATTTATGCATCTAATCTATAGGAACCAGATTCTTTAAGAATTATTTATTGCACAGAAATTCGGAAGCTGGAGAGAAATTCTGCAGAAAAGCAGAAAACTTCCTCTTCAAGCAACTGGACTTTCGCTGATAGTGAACACCATTTGAGTTTCAGTGGAAAATGGGAATTTAAGAAATTAAGAAATCAGCAAGTATTCAATTGCAAATACATATAAATGAATATTTTCAGAGAATCAACTCCATTGGCGAGGATACTTTATTGATAACGATAGTTTATTACAATGAAATCCTAAACATCAACTTAATGATGCTAACGATCACAATACTCATAACAATACAAATGACAATACGAATGGAAATTCTCACACTTACAACTTCCATATTAAACAAATCTTTTTAAAAAATCACTCATTACACTGGATATTCCGTAATCAAAAACAACAACAACACAACGACCATTACTTTTCTCAAACACCAAGAATGAAAAAACTCTCAGAAATGGCAAACTTTCTACAGAAATATCATTCAAAATGAAAAGTTTTACAAATTTCCTAACGTTCACAGATCAGCCATCCAAAAATCAACAGATTATGCCGTACAAAATGTCAGCAATCAGATCAAAATCACGAACAGAAAAGCAACTGAAAACAGAACAAATGTAAAAATAGGAAACGTATTATCTTAAGATTATCTTAAAAAAAAAAAAAGATCTTAAGACTTCATAAGCAAAAACTATTTTCTACCTCCTATAACTTAAAGAACGCAAAAAACAAAAGTCAAAATTTCTTAATATATCATGCTCGTATAACAACTCGTATAAATATTCATTTCAACATTACACAAATTTGCGAAATTCGGCAGAAACAACTCATCACAACGAGATCCAATAGTAAAGACATTATGCGTGAATCAATAAATAATTATGCGATCAATTCATCAAATCTAGAGAATTCCAATTGAAATGCCAACAAAAACAAACTAAATGCAAACAAATTGAATTATGGCAATTCAAAGACAAAGCCAATCAATTCATATATCCAGCTATATTGAAGCTGTTCAATTCAAACATCAAACAACTGTTAAAATGATAATTCTCAGCAGAAATCACAAATCTGTACAAAACATTATGCTTCAGTTGAGTACA